ATATTTTCACTAGAAACTGGACAAAAAGAATACTTGGTAAAATTCAAATGATACAAATTCAACTTTACTGATCCCAAAGGGAAATTAAATGTTGTTATAACTCATATAGATTTGATTAATGATAACATTTCATTTCAGTAATTAAATTCAAACTAATCAAACTCAATTTCGTAGAATGTAATCCTAAATAGTAACTAATTAAAATGGATTTTAAACACAGAAATAGTCTAATTATGGTAAGGCTGAACAATGTTACAATATCATGAAATAAGCGTCTTATATCAATCAGTCTGTATCAATACTTTTTTATTTGTTTTTCTGTTTTAAATATTTGGAATACTTAACTGTTTTATCCATAGTTTTCACACCACAATGTTTTTTAAATTATTTTTTATATTTCTAAGCAATTATGAGGAATGAAGGCAAAACCAGAAATTGCTGCTGCGCAAGTGACTCAACAGGCTGTTGCTAGGTAACCAAAGAGTGAGTGAGTTGCTAGGCAACTAAAAAGTGAGAAAGTTAGTTGGTTCCACCACCCTTGCTTGGCTAGACGTGAGAGGTTGAGCCATAGACATAACAAAAGAATAGATGCCTCATGGACCGCTCTTGCCTGCTGTTGCAAACGTGACGTAGGGCTGCCATCTTGCAGTGGTCGCCAGTTCCACTCAACGTTGTACATTTGAGGCACAATGAAGTGACAGCGCATTTAATTAATTAAATTAAAAGGAACAGACAGCATTTGAAAAAGACAAGCTGCTTCGGGAAAAAGATGAAGAATTAAAAAAACTATTCAAAGTAAACAAAACTTTAAATGAGGACAACACCACCCTGGAGCAGAGAAACACAGCCCTGGAGAAGGAAAACACTGCTCTGGAGCAGAGAAACACCGCTCTGGAGCAGAGAAACACCGCCCTGGAGCAAACAAACACCGCCCAGGAGCAAATGGACGACACTCTGGAGGAGATAAACAACACCCAGAAGCAAATTAACAACACCCTGGAGCGCAGAAACAACACCCTGGAAGAGAGAAACACCACCCTGAAGCTGAAAAAGTCCACTCTGGCGCATAAAATCAACATGCTGGGTCATAAAAACACNTCTCTCTAACCCTCTCACAGCAGTGTGTCTCTGTGTGTGTGTGTGTGTGTGTGTGTGTGTGGGTGTGTGTGTGTGTGTGTGTGTGTGTGTGTGTGTGTGTGTGTGTGTGTGTTTGATTGGGTGGGTGGAGGCATATGTGTGTGTGTGTGTGTGTGTGTGTGTGTGTGTGTGTGTGTGTGCGTGTGTGTGTGTGTGTGTGTGTGTGTGTGTGTGTGTGTGTGTGTGGGTTTGACAGGCAGATAGCATTGTCTGCTGACTGTGCAGAAGGTTGGAGTGACACGGAGTGTTTCGCTGAAGGACAAAGCTGCTTCTTTGTGTCTCAGCCTGTTCCACTGTGGATGAGTTTGTGTAGGTTTCTTTTTAACCTCCGGCCCCAAATGGTTTTTGTCCAAACAAAAGCCCATAGTTACAGATCTGTAAGTCCGTAGTAGACGCAACGCGAGAACAAGTGAGGTTATGATGATGTGTAAGAGGAAAGGAGAAGGACTCTTGAAAGGGGAGAAACTGGATATCATGGGTCATCAGAAAAACAATGGTCTGACAGAGAAAGAAGAACTGTTTTTAAAAAAATGAAGGACGGAAGGGCTGATTGAGAGGTAAATAACAAATTAACCGTTGAAATCGTGAATACATAGACAAAGGAGACAAGAAAGAATGCAGATTAATTATAGATGAAAATAACTTTGGGCAGATGCTGACGAATTACAGAGTAAAGGTGAGAAAACAGGAAAAAAAAAATTAAAAATCGAATTGAAGATGAAAGGAAAAGAGCAGCAAAGTTATGGGTGAAAAAATAAGTGAGGTGTGTATTAGGAAAAACAGAATAACGAGCATAATGGAGAAATAAAGAAGTGCGGAAATCAAACAAAAAAACGGGAAAGTTTAACAGGGAAGGAAGGAGAAAAGGAAGGAAAACTAATATGTGGGTGGAAAGCGAGGAGGAAGTCATCGAGAAGGGAGGGCGGGGGGGTGCAGAACGAAAGAAGGAAGAGAGAGGAGGACTGAGTGAAGTAATATGACAATAAATGATCTGACAGACAGGAGGATAGAGACAGAGCGGGCTGAAATAAGAACAGTCACGACTTTGGCTCCTTCAGCTGCGCCGCTGTAATTTAGCAGCCCTCATAGTTCACAATGACCCTAATGAATCATTTATCACTTCTTATGGGACATTACCGCTGCTGGGGGGAGGGGGGTGGTGGGGGCCTCGCCTTCAGTCCATTTGTACAAAAACAGCTGTCACATTCACTCCACCCAAACTGCTACATTTCATAAAAGTGTTGTGGATGAGGCTACTTTACAAATATGAGAATTAGTTAGAGTTAACATTAGTGATTTATTTATTTATTTTTTTTACATCTAAATCTGTATCTGCTGAAACTAACAAAATAAATATTTTCTGGTTCAAGTTCTTTATTCTTGATCATCTGGGCTTGAAATATCTACCAAAACTTAATTGGCAGGTTACATTGTTAATCATTATTAATAATAAAAATAAAAAATAAAAACATAAAAAAACGCTTACATCTGTTGCTATGGTGCTGATTTTAATTGGCGAACAGAATGAAAGACCTGCAGACATACTCTAGACGAAAAAGGGATTTTAGTTGGCAAATACTTCTAGATGTTTAATATAATATATTTTATAACATATTGCATAGTCTGATTTGTTTTGGTTGTTATGTTTTGGATTTTGATTTAGTATTTGACAAAAAAGTTTTGTTTTGTTTTTTTGTTGTTTTTTTTTCCATTTTCCTCCTCCTTTCGTTGAGCATTGCCTTGCGAATGTTTAAATCCTGTTTCTTTTCACATTTTACATGTTTTAACCCAAAACTTCAGTGGTTTTTAGAGAAAGCAATGGGAAAACAAAAAACAGCATAATTGTAAAGAGGAAGGAAAATTATGTAATAGATTTTCAAAATGTCAACAAAAAAAAATCTACTGTCTACTTTGAAATCTTTCTTTCAAATTTCTACCAAACTCTCCAGTTGTTCCCTCATGGCTAGCTCTCCATTTTCTGTCTGGTTCTGTTTCTTCTTTGGTAGTTCCTCGTGTCTCACAAAGTCTTTGCATCTCTTTACATTTCCAGCAACATCTTCTGGTTTGCTTCACTTAAGCAAAAACTTGTTGACATCTATTTTTATCCCTCATACGCCTTTGAACTCCGCTTTTGGGTGCAGTCCTCTCATCATCACTGAGCAGATTTCATGCCGGCACGAGGCGCTCGGTTGAATCTTGAACATAAAAAGCGGTCTCGGCGTTATTACCAACCTCTTTCAGGCAAAATATTTCTCTAAAAATACATATAAAAACAAAAAAATATAAAGCATAAGTGTTAACATGAGTGCTAGAGAGCCTGCATCTTCAGCCCCTTTTATCAGAGTGGAAACATTCTGAAGTGGCCCCCATTCCTCGCCCTCTTTTCATGTCTCTCTCTCTCTCTCTGAACAGGTAAAGGTGACCTGATCGGAGCGAACCTGTCATTAGACAACCGTGTGATAAAAACCAACGCAGACGTGAAAGCCCTGACCTACTGTGACCTGCAGTGTATCAACCTGAAAGGGCTCTACGAGGTGCTGGACCTCTACCCTGAATACTCTCATCACTTTGTCCAGGACATCCAGCAGGACCTCACATACAACCTGCGGGAGGGACACGAGACACACGTGAGTCATTGTTTGAGTAGCTGAACATACAGCTCTGACTTGTATGCTGTCAACAAACCGCTTAAATGAACCGAAATGCCGTCGCCTTCCTAAAATAATGTCCTAAAAATGTCCTGTTTTACAGACGACTTTTACAACTCGTCTGTAAAACCGCCACGTACCCCAAGAGTTCCTGATTGTGTTTGTCCTCAGCGTTGAAAATAAAAATCAATTAAGGCATGACCCATACTTGTGTGCTTCTCAATTTCCTGTACTGAGTTTACATTGAGAGTATAGGCTCTGGCACAAAATGTGTAGGTGATTTTAGTTTGGGTTTGTAGCTGAGCCTAATGGACAGAAATTAGGACACTGTCCTAGTTAAGGTAGCTGTAAGAGAGAGCTGGCGAAAGTAGCTGGGATACCCGGCTCTGCTCTGCTGCTCTGCTTCTGTAATTACAGTCAGGTGTTTTACTCTGTTGCACAAACACAACTGGGACTCGCTGTCGTGCACACACACGCACACACACACACACACACAGAGGGAGTGCGCCGCAGGGCTTTCAGATGAAACTCATCTGCAGAGGGACAGCCTAAATCTCGGCACTGAGTAAATGAAGATAGGTGGAGGCACCTGAGGATAGAGCGCCGTTCGAGCTGCGCTGCTCAGTTTGCTCCGAGGCTATGTCATAACGGCACCAGTATATTGTGGTGAATACATTTCCGGCGTTGTCTCACTGTGAGCTGTGTGCAGTTATTTTGTTGCGTTTCTCTGCTCGGTTTGGAGAAGAACTGACCAGACGATGCTGCCAAATTGCTCCTCGGGAAAAAGAAGAGCCGGAACATAAAACCAACATGTTGTTCCCTCCCTGCATTGAGCGTTTCCTCTCTGGCTGTCTTCCAGGTGAAGACCAGACTGTCGACAGCAGCACATGAGTCTCAGGTACCCGCTCATTATTTGCAGGGCCCTGCTAAGCTATTCGCACCGCTTGAACTTTCCCACGTTTTGTGAGTTTTAAGAACACAAAATGTGTCTTATTGGGACTTTATGTAAATAGAGCAGCGAGCTGCAGCTCCAGAGCCACATGTGGATCTTTTGTCTCCCCCACTGTGGATGTTATAAAACCAAATTAAAGAAATGTTTTTTAATTATAAAGGCATTATGAAAGTGTTGTTTTCTTTTTCTTATGTGTTTTTGAAATATGTGCATAGAATATCTACAGCATATTCTATGCTGTAGAATATGCTACAGCATATGCACTGGCTATAAGTCTTATAGCCAGTGCTATCAGACTTTTTAAACGTAGTTTCAAATGTCTTATATATGCAACCGTTGGTCTCTCGCAAAATACTTTCACAAGGTCCTGCCCAAGCTGAAGCTAAAAGTTTGAATAAATCAACAGACATGTCTGACATTTTAACATACTCAATGTTGATCTCGACCAGTTTTCCTTTCCAACAAATCTCTGCAGCGGCGACTCTCAGCAGAAATCCGCCCTCACTCCGATTATTAGCAAAATTGTCCTGGTGTGATGGTTTCACGAGGAAACTGATCATGGAAAATTAGAAATTCTTCACAGATTTGTTCCAGTCGTTTGCTGCGGCAGGGCAGAGAGCTGCGAAACGCTTCACATGCAGGGAAGCGGCTGAGATGTTTTACAGACAAATCAATCCGCCTGTCTTGCCGGTTAACTTCAGGAGGGCTCCCGGCCCTCACTGGGAACATACTAATTGGTGGATTTAGAGCTTCTATTTTTGTTCTTACTCGGGTATGTAATCCATGTCCACACATCACGGATTGATCAATCGTTGTTTCATTTCCGTCCCAGTCTGGGGTTAGAAGGAACGGGCGCGTGGTTCAGGGCCAACCCACTGTAGCCGAGGCCCGGGAGGAACACGAGGGCGACTCGGACCAGGACGAGCGCGACAACGCCGAGTCTGTGTCTCTTCTGACAGAGCGCCGTCGGCCTGAGAACCTCAGGGACGCCGTCAGGAAGTCTCCTCCGTGCCAGCCCCGCCAGAAGACCGTCACCTGCAGCTTGGGCCGCTCTCAGAAAAACCTTCAGGAAATCACGCCAACTGCTCTGGACCCTTCAAACCTCAGCCCCAGGTGGGTTCAGTCGCCACTGGCTTCATCATCGGACATATTCAATAAATAATCTTCAAAATGAAGATCATTTGTTGGGTCTACTGTGTCTCAAACACATTGAGAGGTCAGAGTCTGGACATTGCTATGCTAAGGTCGATTTTTCTTTTACTGTCTCTGAAAACTTCAGGCATACTGATGAATATTTTTGATGAATTTTGGCAATACGTTTTTAGAGTGCTGCTCAAACTTAATCATATTGTAAGTTACGTGATGATTCATTGAGACTTTGACCCCCAACTGGGACAGTTTTCTCTTATGACATATGAAAAAGTTGACCTGTAATCAAACAAAGTTAACTTTTACATGATATGCATGATTTATTAGCATTACATAACCATTGGGATCACACTTCTTTAATTTAATCTACCGTCACATGTATGGAAGAACTTAGTTATCCAGAAATAAAATCAGTGGTTTGATTTGAGTACAAAACATCGCCATGGTTTGTAATTGACACATGTCCAGTATGATCTATACCTTGGCCCATTGTTTTTTTTTTTTTTTTTTTTTTTAGGATCCACAGAGGTTTAAGAAGAAAAGACCAAAACAGGAATTTCAATTTGAGGCCATAAATATGATAATAATTGAGTTTAATAATTATAGAATTGCTATTTCTTATTTTTCATGCGTTTTCAGGGTAGAGAGGTTTGGGGCAACTCCAGAGTCTAGACGTTACTCCGTAGTTTCCTTTGTGTCTCTGTAGGATAGTGGACGGTACCGAAGACAGCGAGGGAACAGAAACTTCCCAGACGTTCTCCTTTTCCACCGGCCTCGGCTGTCCTGTCAGTGAACCAACCAGTGCCTCAACGTCAACCACAGGTTATTCTAGGACACTTTTTTTTTTTTTTTGTAATATTTTTTGTACTTCATTTGAAACTGTCCACACCCAGAAACCATAAGTAATTTTACCTTCACTTCTTTCCATCTGTGTTTATGTGAAACTCTAAATGTTTTTCTCTTGCTCGCTGATTTAACACAGATATGCTGCATATCAGCGCGACAGAATTAGCAGCAAAAGCAGAGGAGACCAGGGGACAACTGCGACACCTCGACCAGCAGGTATGATTTAGTGGCGCGCACATTTTTGGGTGACAAGAATAATACAAATGATTAACATTTAAACGCTAAAGTCGAGGTGTCGTTCTCAGGGGGAGGATTTAGACGGATGTAGTTGGAAAGGTTTGCAGGTAGGCTTCTGGAAATAAAAGCCAGCCAATTTGATGACCTAAATAAGGATATAGCTCCGTGAGAAGTGAGAACATTTTCGACAGGTGAGCTAAAGTAGAAGCGAGGTGTATCGGCATGTAAGGCCCAGAGCAGGATGAAAGGATTAGAAGACGTAAATGAACTAAAACTTACCCATTTTTTATCCATATTTTATTCTCAATCTGAAAAGTACACGGGGGGGTTGCCGTACTAGATGTCATTGATTATAATGGTTCATGTTGCAGCTTGAGATATTCCGTCCACACACCAACATCCAGACTCTCACGGTGCATCCCATGGCTTGATTGGCAGGTAGCTAAGTTGACATTAGACTTTTGGCAGCTGAGGAGGGCTGGCGTTTTCCTCCTCCTGCTAATCCTCAGTGTCTGTCGCAGAATCAAACGGCTGTCTCGGCAGGGAAAAGTAAAGGCACGAGGAAAAGAAGGAGGAGAGATAAAGTCATGTACCTTTTTCTTTTACTGATGTGAGGAGACCTAAGGTTAGATATAGACATTTAAAACACAGGAGTGGGATAGGCGGCGGCGGCAGTGTTTTGCTCAGTGTCTCACTGGGTGACCAAAATCCCCCAGTGTGGTCCTCTGATTGTTTAAACCACACTTGGATCCAACGACGCCGATCACAGCAGGATGTGGGAGACACTCGTTTGATCTGGAACGTACACAAGCACGCACCACATGAGCACGTCACTTAATTTGGGGTTTATTATCTCACCAAATAGTCACATGCAAAAAAAGAAATATTGTAAAACATTAATTTGTTGTGGTTTTGTCTAATTTAGTGCAACGCAAAAATTTTTATTTTCTATTTATTTATTTTAATTGACACATTTACCAATCAAGGTCGGATAATCAAAGGTCAGATTTTATTGTTTGCTTCATTCATGAGGAACAGTGTCTAAAACGCAACACAAATTAGAAATTAAATGATGAACAATCTAAGCCAATAAACATGACCATACTCATGTCGTTGCAGTTTAGACCAGACACAAAAAACATAAAGAACAAAGCTACTTTTGTAGTCTCATTTGTGTTTGTTTGTTGCTTTTTTTGAATAAAAGCATGATTATGAAGAGGATGAAATATAAAATGGTAAATCATTAGTGTGAATAGTTATCACACTTAGCAGTAGCATCTTAGCTAATGCTAGCACCCGAACAACTTTAATACAGGAAACAATGAGCACTGTTGACAGTTTACATGCTACTGTTAGCATTTTAAACATATTTTCTCACTACCATGGAGCAATAGAGGAAGGACTCTAGTTGTACATCGCCAAGGGATCGTGAGATAAACCTGCAAATATGAACAGTCGAGAACCTGAGCATTTCCTTACACCAGGATGGTGAAGGAGGTGAAAAAAGACATCTGAAGGGTGCCATAGAGTCAACAATAAATGTAACTGAGGAATTTTATTTTAAATATACCTGATTTTTCTACATCAAACAGCTTCATAATGAATCCAGTACTTAGTGTTTCTACATTTTATTAGGTTTTCTTATGATAGATGTAACAGTTGAAGTATATACACGAATTTCACAAATCTTGCAGTGTTCAGTAAAGTGTTGCATTTATATTTGTTATCACTCCACCTAACTATGATTCTCCAAAATAAATAAAGTTCAACCATTTTAAGTTTTTTTTTTTTTTTAACTTCAGTACATACTTGAAAAGCTGGAGTCAGATTTAACGGGAAGATGGGTGAAGCTAAGTACAAATGCACGCCACACTGCTCAGATTTTTTTTATTGGAAGATAAATGTTTTAAAACCACGTGTCATTTTATGTTGTAGTTGATGATCAAATATTTTCTCACTCATAACAATCAAACCAGTTTTTTGCTTTATGTGTGGAAATTTTTCCCCAGACATGTTTGCTAACAATCAATGAAATGATCACATTTAGAAACAGTAATTTTTGCTTGTAGGTGTATATTTTTTGTTATGGATGAAATACCACGGATCTTTTGTATTCTCCTGATAACATTTATAGGAATTAGACTAAATTTCTTGACTTTGCGGACTCGTGATGATCGGAACCTTTTGAACACGGCGTGTTTGAACAGGGAAGAAGTAGGTCTGAACACCGGGCTCTTTACAGGCTGATGCAAGTTGAATGAGGGAGCTGTTAGCTTAACGGTATGATAGAAAAACAGAGAAAATAACCGGATATTTTCTTGATATGTCTTTAAGCTCAATAGTTTTTTTAAAAAAAGTATTGAGTTTGAAAAAAAAAAATCAATAACCAAGTGTCAATTTTCTCATTTTGATGGAGAATATTAGTAGCGATTAGCCAGATTTACCAAGCTAGCTCTGATAAATGCTCACATATGGAAGCCTTCTGTGCTACGGAAGGAGGAAATATAGAGATGTCAGAGCTTTAAATCTGTTTTATTTTTCTGTTTAAAGACTAACTGATCTATTTGTTTAATTTCTTACATCACATAACATTTCATATTATAAATGAAATATTCCACCGGTGGAACTAGTAGTTGTTTTAATCAATATTAAGGAATTATTTATTTTAAAAAAAATTCTGTATCTTGCTCAAAAGTTTCTTATTAATCAGTTTTGTCTTATTTTAAGTGTGCTAAGATATTTTCACTAGAAGCTGGACAAAAAGAATACTTGGTAAAATTCAAATGATACAAATTCAATTTTACTGATCCCAAAGGGAAATTAAATGTTGTTAGATTTGATTAATGATAACATTACCCAAACTATGAATTTCAGTAATTAAATTCAAACTAATCAAACTCAATTTTGTAGAAAATAATCCTAAATAACTAATTAAAATGGATTTTAAACACAGAAATAGTCTAATTATGGTAAGGCTGAACAATATTACAATACCATGAAATAAGCATTTTATATCAGTCTGTATCAATACTTCTCTATTAGTTTTTTCTGTTTTAAATATTTGCAATACTTAACTGTTTTATCCATAGTTTTCACACCACAATGTTTTTTAAATTATTTTTTTTATTTCTAAGCAATTATGAGGAATGAAGGCAAAACCAGAAATTGCTGCTGCGCAAGTGACTCGACAGGCTGTTGCTAGGTAACCAAAGAGTGAGTGAGTTGCTAGGCAACTAAAGAGTGAGAAATTTAGTTGGTTCCACCACCCTTGCTTAGCTAGACGTGAGAGGTTGAGCCATAGACATAACAAAAGAATAGATGCCTCATGGACCGCTCTTGCCTGCTGTTGCAAACGTGACGTAGGGCTGCCATCTTGCAGTGGTCGCCAGCTCCACTCAACGTTGTACGTTTGAGGCACAATGAAGTGACAGCGCATTTAATTAATTATAACTGAACAGATTTTCACGCTTTTTTACTAGAAACCTAATTCAAACAGCTATCATAGCTACATTTACAAAGACATTTATTTTTTTAAAAGTATTTTTAAATTGAATTGAATTGATCCATGGATCAGCATATTTAAATATTAGTGGGGACTACTGATGTTAGGGCTATGGGTCGGCAGTCAATCAGGCCTGTCACTGTGGAGCTTTTGGGGACAGGGACAATAGTGGTGGTCTTTAAGTGGGAGAGGACAGGTGACAGTAACATTGAGGTGTTGAAGATCTCTCAGACCGTTGATGTACACAGTCCCTCAGAACCCTTCCTTGTCGGGGCCTGCAGCCTTACAGGGGTTGATTTCCTGGAAGGACTTCCTCACATCTGCTGTGGTCACACAAAGAGGCATGTCACCAGGAGGTGGTATTAATCTGGTGCTGAGGGGGGTTTTAAGATGCTCAAAGCGGGAGTAGGACTTGTTAAGTGCATCTGGCAGTGAGGGGTTAGAGTTAGGCTAACGCTAACCCTAGGGTCGCTTCTCGGAGTGCTGATGCCTCACCTGTCCTGAACCCAGCGTCCCTAGCTTTCAACAGAGCTTTCACCTCAACATTCAGCCAGGGTTTCTGGTTCGGGTAACAGGTTACTGTCCTGGTGGTGGTGACATCATCAGCACACTTGGAGATGAAGCCAAAAACAGAGGAGGTGTATTCCTCCAGGTACATCTCTACCTCATAAGGACCCACCTCTCTGAAGACCTGCCAATCTGTGGACTGAAAACAGTCCTGAAGCTCACAGGCTGCATCCCTGGGCCACACAGTGATTGTCTTCCTCCTTGGCCTAATCCGTGTCATCAGCAGACGATATGCTGGCACCAGCAGGATGGAGATGTTTTCGGAGAGGCCAAGATGGGGGCGAGGAAGAGCTCTGTACGCACCGTGAATGTTAGTGTACATACAATACAGAGTGTAAGAAGGATGACATGCCGATAAAAACTGAGCAGAGTGTCCGTCAGTTTCACATGGTTAAAGTCCCCTGCAACTAGGGCTGTGTAATAATATCAATTTTGCGATACATATCGATATTTTCTTTCCTAGAAAAAAATCGATATTCATCCGCAAGTATCGTAACATCCAACTGTCACCTTGCTCACTCACTGCTTGCTTTGCCCGGAGAGTGATTAGGTCATCAGGCTTAGAGTGATTCCTTCAGATGTTAAGTGTCAAGGTTAAAAAGGTATCAAACTATTCAGAGCAGGGTACTTGGTGCACTTTATTTACTTTACAAACGCATGTAAGCTACAGTTTATACCGTTTCAATTAAAATAAACATGTTTTCTCACCACTTCTTTGATTCATTTTGTCCAGTTGTCGACTTTAAGTCTGTGTCCATGTCCAACCAGAGCCAGGTATTGTGTAGTTGGTGCTTTTAATAAGTTTTCAGTTAAATTAATTCCATCCAACTCCATAATAGTCACAAAATGTCACCAAAATCGCTCTGTCCCTCTAAAATCTTTCAGAAAATCGCAAAAGTGTATTGAATTGTATCGTTTGCAATATATATCATATCGTGAGCAGAATATCATGTATCGTATCATGAGATACGATACATGATAGTCTGATCGTATCGTGAGATACGATACATGATATATGTGGTTGCAGCCTTACCTGCAACCACATAAAATACCTCCGGGTGCTTCATCTGCAGTGAGCTAACGGTGTCATACAGCTCTTTCTTTGCTTTGTTCCCGTTAGCACCGAGCGGAATGTAAACAATGGTGACGAACACCGCAGTAAACTCCCGAGGCAGATAGTATGGCTGACAGCTTTTAACGACTCGTGCTTTACAACAACACTCTGGAGTGTTGACGGTGTTAAGTTCATTTTCAGCATCACTGAGGTGTTTAAAGCAGCTATGTGAAGCTTTTAGATCAGTGGTGTCCAAACTTTTAGCCTAAGAAAACCAAAATCATCAAATCAAAAGTATTTTCTTATCTTCTTGAAAAGCTAAACATATTTAGTTAACTGTGATTATGTTTGACTTGGTCAACAATCTCGCTCTATTTAAATGACATGGACAAGCTAGTCTGATTCAAAGGAAAAGGATCTGCAAATCTTTGTAAATCAGAAAAGATAATAGGAAGTTACATGTTTGTTGTAATAAAAGAAAGAATGGCAGTTTTCAACTTTTTGGGTGGGTTGCCCCAAGAAACTGAACATGTTGGAGGAAAATCGATGGACTAGAAAATGTCTAGAGTTTTCTTAGTGTTTGGGTACTACCCTAACTCTAACCCAGATAAGGTATGGGGCTACTAAATTTACTGGAAACTCACACAGAGACTGCTGTTAGTAACGGCAACCACACTAATTACACTAATCACTAGTAAAAGGCGCTAAGAACAGTTTAAAAATGTCAAGTCTGTAACCTTCTGTCTTTGTTTTGTGATAATTGTTACATCTTATTTAACTGCAGAGTTATTTAACACTGACTGCTCTCTGCCACACACAGGGTTTGGCCTCACTGATAAAGATATT